AAAAAAAAAAAAAAAAAAAAACAACAACAAAGTGCTGGAAGCAGAGTGGGAAAAGAGTGCCAAAACGGAAGGGGCAGGTGGAGTACGCGGGGTCACACCTCCACAATCCACCCGGACACACCCGGCCTGTGTCCCAGCAGTGTGCTGACTGGCTGCCATGCCAGTCAAGTTGACACAGGCCTGACTTCCCTGGAGATAAACTTGGGGTGGCCAATAGATAGTGTCAGTCCAGGGACTGGTGAGGTTCCCATGGCAGTGCCGTGACGTCACTGCTGAGCTCTGAGGGTTTGCTTTGCAGGTCAGACATTTTGACAGCCCCTACCTGTTGTACCACGAGAAGATCAAAACCAGCCGGGTGTTCATCCGGGAGTGCAGCATGGTGTCCGTGTACCCGCTGGTCCTGTTCGGAGGAGGCCAAGTGCATGTGCAGCTGCAGAGGGGGGAGTTCGTCGTCTCCGTGGATGACGGCTGGATCCGTTTTGTTGCTGCTTCCCATCAGGTAGAGGAAGCACTGCTCTTCCCAAGGCCCAGGCCCTGGCGCTCTGCTGAGGCGACGTGGAGGGCACCCCGCACGCCACGCACCGAGCTAACCCAAGGAAACAAGGGCCTTCACTAGGGCCCTGAGGAAGCGGACGGCTGCCTGGGGCTGGGCAGAGCCCTGGTGAGGGCTCCAGGGAGGGGGCGGCAGGGCTGCAGGAAGCTGGCTCAGAGGCGGGGTGAGGGGCAGGCCTTCCTTATAGACGGATACTGTGTGCTTATTATAGCAAATCAGAAACAGATAAGCACAGTTCCACGGATAAAAACTACCTTGATTGGACCATTATGAAGAAAATAAAAGGGAGAAGGAAGGTGGGAGAAAGGAAAAAAGAAATAAAAAGGAAGGGAGAAAAAAGAGAGTGAAGGTGTTTTCATTAGTAGGCTGTCGGTTCAGTATCCAGAACTCCATAAAAAAAATAAATAACAGCCAGGCAGTGATGGTGCAGTCTTGTGGTCCCAGCACCTGGGGGGCTGAGACAAAAGGGTGGTTGTGAGTTCGAGGCCAGCCTGGGCTACGTAGTGAGACCCTGGTTCAAAAAAAAAAAAAGACAAAAATACAAAAAATAAAAATATAAGTCTCAGTTTATTATATGGATTCTCTATCAAAATATTTCAGGAATGTTAAAAAATACAAATTTTTAATTTGAAATGGTCCTATAACTACACTTCTTTTACAAAGTGCAAAGCCAGGTGGCATGGTGGCAGACACTATTATCCAAGCATTCTGAAAGGCTGAGGCAGGAGGACTGCAAGTTCTAGCCTATCCTGGGCAACTTAGGCCCTGTCTCAAAGTAAACTATAGAAAAAGCACTGGGGCTGTAGCTCAGGGTAAAGGGTCACTTGCCTGTACTGGGGAAAGAAGGGAAAGCCAGGGCTTAGCTCAGGGGTAGAGCACCTGGTGGGTATGCGCAAGACGAATCTAAGTACGTTAATTGGTAGTACTTGTGACCTTGCCCGCTGATAAATGTCCTCCATTGTCATTCCAAGCACTGTTATATTTCAACTTTTGTTGTAGGTGGCCGAGTTAGTAAAGGAACTTCGTGGTGAACTTGACCAGCTTCTCCAGGATAAAATTAAAAACCCAAGCATAGACCTGTGCACCTGTCCTCGGGGCTCCCGCATCATCAGCACCATCGTGAAACTCGTCAGCACACAGTAGGGACTCGCCAGGGGGAGTGCTCACTACCCACCTGCCAAGTCACAGCAGCGCTTCTACCTCACACCCAAAGCCTGCGCTGGGGCGGGCCCGGAGGCCCACGCCCTGAGGGGCGCTCCTCGCTCAGGTCGCAGGCGGCGTGAGGTTGCGCAGCCCCCTCGCCTGTCAGAGCCAGTGGGGTTCGCCTGACAACACAGAAGTGAATGTTTAATATAATTGTTTTAACCTATGTATTCTTTGTCTCCTGCCTTTTATGATGTATGTGTATACATAACCTATGTATCTTTTCTCCTGTTTTTGCATCAGGCATGAGAAATAGTTGGTTTTTCTCCTGTCATAATAAAAATTCAGTTGAGAGAAGTTACAGCTGAGAAGGAAAAACAAAAAATAAAATCATGTGAGAAAAATAAATTTCACTTTAGGCTATTGGCTATTGAGTAAACTTGATTTGTAAAAGTTTTTTTTTTTTTTTTTTTTTTTTTGTACTCATTAAGTCAGTTTAAAAACAAATTTAAGCCAGATGTGGTGGCACACACCTATGATCCCACCTACAAAGTGAGTTCAAGGCCAGCCTGAATTCCACAGTGAGATGCTGCCTCAAAAAAAAGAAAAAGGGGCCAGGGCGATGGCTCAGTAGAATAAAAGCTTCCCTGGCAAGCATAAGGGCCTGAGTTCAATCCCTGGTTCTGCAAAAAAAAAGGGGGATTCTGATTGGGCCTAAAAATGCAAGTTGGTCTTACTCATAATGCTATTAAAAGCAAACCAATCTTTGTGTCTTTGTTCTCTAACTTTATTTTTCTTTTTATGTATCTAGTACAGGGTCTCACTATGTAGACTGGACTCGCAGTGATCCTCCTGTTTTCAGCCTCCCAAGTGCTAGGATTACAGGCACGTGCCAGCATGCCCCAGGGACAGGGCTGGCACAGCACGCTGGGGATCGAACCCCCAGCCCCTGCGTCTGCCTAAGCAGGTGCTTTAATCTGCTGAGCCATCTGGCCAGCCCTAACTTTTCTAACTCAGGAACTCTTCCAGATCTGGTGGCCGTATTTCACTCCCTGGAGACATTTTTTTTTTTTTTCCCATTGTTGAGGAACCTAGCAGTGCTGAGCAACATCCCCAGCCCTTTTTGTTTTTTAAGAACAGGGTCATTTTAGGGGGCCAGCGAGATAGCTCAGCGGACTAAAGTGCCTGCTTAGGCAAGCTAAGGCGGCTGAGCTGGCCACAGTCCGGGTATGGTGGTACACACTTGTAATCTGGGGAGCCTGAAAACAGGAGGATCACTATGAGTCTAAGCTGCATAGTGAGACCCTGTAACAACCAAATACATTTTTTAATTTTTTTTTTTTTTTTTTTTTGGTGGAGCCAGGGATTGAACTCAGGCCCTTGTGCTTTCCAGGCAAGCACTTATTCTACTGAGCTGTCTCTCCAGCCCCCCAAATACATTTTTTTAAAAAAACAAAACAGGGTCATTCAAAGTTGCCTGGCTGGCCTCGGACTTTCTGGGTCCTCTGCCTCCATCTCCAAGTAGCTGAGATTACCAGTGTGCACAGTACTAGGTCAGCGGCTTATTTTCAGCCGCTCTCAGGTTAGTGGGCCAGCACTTTGAAAAAGTAATGTATTTACAGCTTCCCCAGCTGCCTCCAGGAAGCGCTCCAAAGAGCAGAGTGGAAATGGGATCGTCAGACCTTAGCACAGTCACTGCAGAGTCATACTCTAGCATTCAAGCTAATGACAGCCACCTCAGTGTATGATTTTTACTTTCAGGTATTATTTTAGTAATGATTTCAGGAAATCTAGGCTGCCTAAAATGATTACCATCACGAGTGTTTAAGCCTCATTTGAGGAATGCAGGCTCTAAGCAGTGTTTTTTTAAGGATTAATTCCTATCATCGCTCTGCATGGAAAAGCCTCCCTGTGTGTAGTGCCCATGGATCCAGGCTCTCGCTCACTATTCAAATAAGGCTCACTGCAAAGCAGCATGGGTGGGCGCTCGTGGAAGAGTGCTCAAAAACTTTTTTTTTTTAATTTTAATTTTTTTTTTCTTGTTTTGGCGGAACTAAGGGGTTGAACTCAGGCCCTTGCGCTTGCCAGGCAAGCACTTATTCTACTGAGCCATCTCCCCAGCTTCAAAAACATTTTTTAGGACAAATTTTGACTCCATGCTGTTGTGCTGGAGCTCATGCTGCCCTGGCAAGGGCCATCTGCCATTGAGTCCACCTTTTCTTCATCTCTCTCAACTTTGTAGGAGAAAAATGGCAACAGTAATCATTATAACATTTTTGTGTGAAAAGTAACTTAAATAACAGCCTTAGTCAGCCCAGACCCACAAGTACCCACAAGTAGGATCGGCGTTTCAAGTGACAGTCTTGACATATTATAAAATATGCATAAATATGGTATGACAGTGGATAAATTGACATTTTCAAAAAAAAAAAACCCCTCAATTTTTAAAATTATTTCTTTGTGCAAAAATTGCAATTATGGCTATCTCCTAGGTTTTACCTAAAATTACATGAAGTAGTTCGTTTTCCTTCCACGGTGAATGAATGCCACAGTGCATGGAGATCAGCCACGGCAGGCTTGCTTCTGCAGTAATGACAGGCAGCCCAGCAGCCCCCCAAACTCACCTGTGTCCTGAGATTTGTGTAAGCGGTCCTTATTCCACCCTTGGCTTCCAAGGAGGCAACAGGGACTGTTAACCTTTCAAGTAAGACTTTGCGCCCATGAGCTGAGCCATAACAGACGCAGTGCCCCCTTAGGTATGAGGACTACAAAGGAGTCTCTCACCAGAGAGGCGGCGATGCAGAGCTTGATTTTGTTCTCGTTGCACTGGGAATTGAACCCAGGCTTTGGACACTTCCCGAGCCACAGCCCACCCCAGCCAAATGTAGTTTCTGCCTGCTATAGCTCTACAGCAGGGGAGTGGGCAGTCTCGGCGAGCCTTGATTTTCCCTGAAGTTCAGGCTGGTCTCTGGCTGGGAGGCTGGGAGCAGGCCCTTCACCAGCAGGCAGCCACCTTCCGTGGGCTTGGACTCTGCAGGGAGCTGCTGGGTGGCGCCCTCAGTCTTCAGGGTCCCAAGCCCAGCGCGGCTCTGCAGATGGCTCTCCCGCCACTCCCCACCACTGCGGCCCACCGGGCCTGCTCCCCTCCAGGACTGCCAGTCTCCGCGGGGGCGGCAGCGGTCCCTACGGCTGCAGGTGGGAACCGCCCCCCACAGCCAGTCCCAACTCGGCGAAGGCGCCGCCCACCTCCTCCTCCTTCCTTAAGCTTTCTCTCTCCCTCTCCCAGCAGGCTCCAACTCTTGCTTCTGATCCTTTCCGGTCCAGGTCGCTCTTCCCTCCTTGTCCTCCTCGCGTTGCAGTATTCCAGTGTTTGGATGGCAGGGCTCAGGCCCTTTCTCTGCTGTTCACCACTCCACCATCTTCATTTGTATGTCTTAAACTCATTCTCAACCAGACTTAGTGGCATACTGCCTGCCTGGCAGGAGCAAGGTCCTGAGTTTGAGTCCTGATACAAAAATACGGGGCCGGGGAAATGGCTCAGTGGAATAAGTACTCCCTGGCAGCACAAGGGCCTGAAATCAATCCCCAGTTCCGCAAAAAAATAAATAAATACTGATATATATATCTAAAAAAACCCCTGGGCAAAGTCCGCCAACATTGCTGGTTGTCACACCTGGAAGGAGGGCTATTACCATTCACAAAGGCCCAGGGTGCTGCTAGATACCCCACCAGGCGCGGGACACCTCGACAGAAAATGATCCAGGCCAGTAGTGCAAGGGTAAATGAAACTCTTACTTTCATAGAAATGAACCTGCATGGTAGCACACGTCTGTAATCCCAGCATTCAGGAGGCTGAGGCAGGAGGATTACCGTGACCAGTCTGGGCTACAAAGGGAGTTCAAAGCCGGCCTGAACTGCATAGTTCATGCCTCAAAAAGACATAAACAAACTGAATAAGAGTTTGTGCAGTTATCACGAATACAAAGTACTTGAGATGCTGAGAAAAGCAGACATACAAATGGGAAAGACCACGCACAGGTGGACAGGAATAGCTTCACTTTAGAAGCAAGTTCTTGCCATGTATTTTTTGTTTTGAAATAGGGTCTCGCTGCATAGTTTAGACTGGCCCTGAACTCACTGTGTAGCCCAGGCTGGCTTCAAACTCCTGGCGATCCTCCTGCCTCAGCCTCCAGAAGTGTGCCAGCACTCCTGGCCTTGCTTTGCTTCTAAAAATCACCCCTGTTTAAATGTTAAGACACTCTCTGCATGTAACTGCTAATACTTGGCACCAACAACAAAGTTGAAATTCTCACGCTTAGGTCAACATAAGACATTTAATATACACACGCATGTACACTCACCCTTATCTTCCTGTTGACTGAACAAAGTCCGGCCTACTAGACTTTGGCCAATATGCTAAAATGCAAATACGACAGGACAAATGGTATGTGGCTCTACAGGGGTGTGTGCACTGTGTTTCGATCTGTGTGGAGCCTAATGAGGACCCTTAACTTCCGGGTTTAGTAACCCTACTCCTGTAGTTTGGGCCAGGAAAGCCTGTTTGAGGGTGTAGCTCCTGTAAGCTTACCAGGCAGGGTGGCAAGGAGGTGTTTATGCTCTCTAGAAAGCAGAAGTCGTTTCTCTGAGGAGCCACCTGCACGTAGGTGCTGAGCGACTCTCCCGGGGGAAGCCAACCACAATTATAGGCTTGGCACGAAACCGTCAGTAACTGGAGACATCTGTGCTGCCGCTGCCCTTCTGTCACTGAGATGCACCTGTGCGCTTTCCCTCCTTGACACCAGCTGGCCTATATTTCCAGTCCTTAAATCAGTTTATGCCCCTTTTTAGCACAGCTGAAAGATACAAACTCATTCGTTAACAAGAAAGGCAGGTGTCCAGTTTATACCTAATATGTGCTATGTGGCTAGTCTGAAATTCATAGTGGGTTTACTTTATGCTGACAGCTTCTGTTAAGCCAACATTGGTTTAAGCAAATCCTATGTACCAGTCACCAGGATAGAAAAGTAGGCTAGAAAGAGAAACAGGGACACAAGAGGAAGAGAACAGAAAAATAAAACTGACTTAAACTCAGCCTCTAGAAGGGCCTTTGAAGGCTCCAGAAGTCTGTGGATTGAAACGAAAAGGAAAGGCACGAAGAGCTTTATCCAAGTCTCTCAATTCTGCTGAGTCTCTCGCAGAAGTCCTAGGTTTAATCCCAGCACTGCCAAAAACAAAATCTCTTAAGAGCTGGGGTTGAGCTCAGTGGTACAAAGTCCTGGTTTGATCCCTAGGACACACGGGCACACACACACACACACACACACACACACACAGAGCACTGAAACAGGGCCCAGGATGCCAATGTCCCCAAGAGGCAGTATCAGACAAACCCAAATTGGACATGATTCTACAAA